TAATTTATCCCCCCCACCCCCTTTCCCCTGTGGTAACCATAAGTTTGTTTTCTATTTCTGAGTCTGTTTCTGTTTTGTAATAAGTTCATTTGTATCTTTTTTTAAGATTCTACGTATAAGTGATATCATATGATATTTCTCTTTCTCTGTCCGACTTTACTTGTATGATAATCTCTAAGTCCATCCATGTTGCTGCAAATGGCATTATTTCATTCATTTTTATGGCTGAGTAGTATTCCATTGTGTGTGTGTGTGTGTATACACATATATATATATGCATACATATTTTCTTTATCCATTCATCTGTTGATGGACACTTAAGTTGCTTATCCAGTCATCTACTGATGGACATTTAGGTTGTTTCCATGTGTTGGCTATTGTAAATAGTGCTGTTATGAACATTGGGGTGCATGTATCTTTTTGAATTAATTTTCATTTTCTTCTTGCCCCAAGATGCAAGCTAAGTTTTGTCTTAATATTAAGACCATGCCTTTTATGTCTTCATGCATCCATCCACCCATTAATCCACCCATCCATCTATTCATTTCTTCAACAAACATTTATTGAGCCTCCCCTTAATGTCCCAGGTGTTAGTATCTGATGCTAGGGATGCAATAATGGAAATGAATTTTTTTAAAAATGGGAAAGTCCTTGGACTCAGAGAGGTTTCAGCCTAGTAGGGAGGCCATCAGGGTGACAATTACAATGCAAAAGGGATAAGGTCCATGTGTTGTGAGTAGAGAGGAGGCCTTTCAACACAGTTGGGGCAAGGAGGAGAGAGAACATAGACTTCTTCAAGAGCAGCTCCTCCAAGTGGTGGAGGAAAGTAGAGGGTATTCCCAGGAAAAGAGAACAAGGCCCATTGGGGTAGTATATCCTCAATTGCCTTTACCTGAACTTAACTTTCTTGGATCTTGTCCTTAATCCCTGGAGACTCAGAGACACACTGTGTGATGGTTTAGATTACAACACTACTTCCTTCTCTGTTCTTTAATTGTATTACATTCTCTATCTTCTTGATCCCTCCTCACTGCCCCATCTGTCTCCCCAAGCTTGGACTTCAGTTTTCCTTGCTTAGAGCGTGTGTTAGTTTGCTAGGGCTGCCGTAGCAAAGCACCACAGACCGGGTGGCTTAAACCATAGATGTATGTTGTCTTGGTTCTGGAGTCTAGAAACCCGAGATCAAGGTGTCCGCAGGGCTGGTTCCTCCTGAGGGCTGTGAGGGAGAATCTATTCTCAGACATTCTTTGGCTTGTGGGTGGCATTCTCCCTGTGCCTTCACCTTGTCCTTCTTCTGTGAGTGCCTGTCTCTGTGTCTACATTTCCCCTCTTTATGAGGACACTGGCCACATTGGATAAGGGCCACCCTAATGACCTCACCTTAACTTGACCATCTGCAGAGACTCCATTACCCTGAAACTGTGTTTGCCTCTTGGTGAGTGTTGAGCCAAAAGACACAAGCAAGCCAAAGATCGGGAGAAGGAAGGACATGTTACTTGCAGCAAGTAAGGAGAACACTGGGGATCCTTCCCAAAGCAGTGTCTCCTCGAACAGCAAAATTGGGGAAGTTTTAAACTAAGGGTACAAACATATTCATGAAGGGTTTGGGGTGGGGTATACATATTCATGAAGGGGCTTGAGCAGAGGAGAATTCAAAATAGACCTGGGGCAGAGGTTACCAGAGTCCAAGCTTTAGTTGATGGAAGTCGTGAGGGTCAGAAGAGGTCAACATCATTGTTCCTTAGGTTCTGACCAGTCTGGGGTCTTAGCCTGTAGTTTCCAGGCTCCACCTGGTTGGGGACCTTAGTCCCTGTAGAACAACTCAAAGATACACATCAGAGTGTTATGTACATCCCTTGAGAAAGAGCTAGGACCCTGTTTTATTGTTGAACTATTGTTCCTTAACTGCTTTTCCTCTGTTCTTCCATTCCTTTGTTCCCTTAAGATCATTAATTACTGAGACCTGCTCAAGGGCAAGTATTATGGCAGGCTTAGATCACAGCATGGCTTAGGCCCAAAATGGCTTCTCTTATGTCAAGAAAGCCGTGCCTGGTTTTCTTTCTTCAGGGACCCCTGACTCTATCTGCTTACAACTCTACTTCCAAATAAGGTTACATTCAGAGTTACTGGAGGTTAGGACTTCAACGTCTTTTGGGGGACAAAGGTCAACCCTAAATAGAACCTAAGATCTAGCTCCCCTCTAATTGTTTCTGCTCTGTTCTCACCTCCTCCAGCGTGACAATCAGGAAATCCACCACCAAAAAGTCCTGATGCTTGTGCTTGGGAGTTTTAAAAAATTGCATTTCATCATTAAGGTCCATATGTGTTGCTGGTTTGTTGCTTTATAAAATTGACCCCCTCCACTGTGGGCTTTAATTATAAGGCAGAGGGAATCAATAATAGAGAATCCAATCTGAGGAGGCCGTAAGGCAATTTAACAGTTGCAGACCCCAACTGTGTGCATCATTCTCATAAACCATAGAATTAAACACATGGACCCGCTGAGTCAGGCTTTGCAGCTCAGAATGAACGTCTGGTGTAAATAATGACAGCTGGGTCACATGCACGGATGGGGCTGTGCTAAGCTGTAATAGATAAGCTGTCTATGACAGGCTGCTTGGGGAAGGGCTCACTTGAATATCTGCCCCAAAAATTATACCTGAGAGGACAAGCAAGATGTCCATTGCTTAACAGAACAATAGGCTACTGCATTGGAAGAGATGTTAGTTAACCTCTTCCAGACTCTTAGCCCTTGAGCATAGATGAACTTGCCAGGGTCCAAAGCAGTGTTAATGCCCCACCCACATCCCCTTGGCCCACCCAGAATTTAACCTTCAACTTCCCACTCACCTGGAAGCCTTCTCAAACACCTGTTCCTTATACCTGCGGGCTTTCTTGGCTACAGGAACAAACTTGCCCCCGAGGCATAGCAGGCTGGAACAGCTGGAGAGTTAGTGCCACAGTTCTAAGGTATGTTCTGCACATTGTCTCAGAAGACCTCCAGCAAAACAGAGCTCTGTTATCCACAGTGGTACCCATTAGTTAACACATTCTTTGTTGGGTTTCTTCCCTTCTCTGTTTTATTTCCTTATCATACTTCTTGGAATTGCCTCCCAAATAAACTACTTACACCCAAGACCTTATCTCAGGGTCTATTTCTGAGGGAACACAAATTAAATCGGGGTTTATAAACCCCTGAAACTATGTGCAAAAGTCTCCGTACCTGTACATTTTCCTGGGAAAGGGTACAGAGCTTTCATCAGATCCTCAAAGGTTTTTACCCAAAACCCCCCAAAAGGGTGAGAACCACTGCTCATCATTTCATGGATGAGAACAGTTATTTCTTTCACGTCTAATCTAATCGCTTTCAGCCTGGGAAACCAAAAGGAATGGAGTCAACATTTCAACCTGTTGACAGGTGAGCGTGAATGGAACCAGGATGGCAAAGTCAACAGTACCCAAGTATAGTTCACAACAGGAAAGACCTTGACATGCAGCCCTCAAGTGCTGTTTCCAAGGCTGGTGGTTGTTTAAGGTTGATCTGGTGTGTGTGTATGTGTTTTATTTTATGTTCAAAGTAGAAGGTCCAGACACAAAAGACAAAAACTGTATGATTCCATTTGTATGAAGTCCCTAGACTAGTCATATTCATGCAGACAGAAAGTAGAAGGGTGGCTCCCAGTGGCTGAGGAGAGGGAAAGTGGGGAGTTATTATTTAGTGGATATAGCCTCGGTTTTACGAGAGGAAAAGAATTCTAGAAATTGGTTGCACAACAGAGTGAATGTACTTAACACTGTTGAACTATACACTTAAAAATGGTTACGATGGTAAATTTTATGTTAAGTGTATTTCACAATTGTAAAAAAAAAAATGCGTAAAAGCCACTGACCTCAATAAACAACAACAAAAAAGTAGAAAGAACCGTGACTCCCATATTGGCACTCTCTCTTTTTGGCAACAGGTGCTCAGAGTGTACACTAATGAGTTCAAGGGCAGATAGATTCTTGGATCCTCCATGCTCAATAAGAATATTTTAATGTAATTTTTCTCCATCATGATAATCAAAAAAGGATTTAAGTATATTATTCCACATGGTATGATATTTGAGTATGTGGAATCACTAAACAATCCCCTCACGGTAGTGAATTTGACTTCTACTGACTTTTTTACTGCGTGGTCACGATTAGATGAGTATGTCCTAATCTTACACTGTCAGTAATAGTGCTGTGTCTGCCACTGTCCTCATGTCAAAGTCCTGCAGAGTGGTAATTTTTTAATGGAAACCCCTTTTTTTTTTCCTAGAGTCAGATTTTAGTCTGTTATTTAATAAACTGAGACAAATTTGCCATCACGACAATGACAGGGATTTGCAGTAACATACCACTGTGATTGCTGCAGGGCATGTAAAATGTGAGTGAGGTGCTGGAGCCAAGTAACCACAAAAGACATGACTCCTCGGTGTGAGCAAAGGCTTCACAGGAGTCTGAACATCCCAGGTTGAGTCAAAGAGACTGTGATGTAAAGAAAACTTGACTTAAGATGAAGTTGTAATTAAAATACTCTATTTCTAATATTTATAGGATTCTGCCAACATTCTGACGGTTAACTCTTTAATAAAATCAGACATTTGTTTTTGACATCTGCTAGGAAAAAAACTTCAGATGTTATTTTATTATACTAATGTCACCAATAATTAGAATAAAGAAACACATTTGATCTAGATTTTGGTAATTCAGTAGAACTAACAAATTTTAAATGAATACGGTAATTTTTCAGAGTTTATAATGCCGTGCAACGTTAAAATTGCCTTTTAATTTCAGTTAAATATAAGATATGATTACACTGAATTAGCAGATCAAACCTTATTGTTATGAATGTGATTTTGTGCAAAATGCTTTATAAATGGACGTTATTCACATTGATATTTATAGAAATCAAAAAACCAGAGCAGGGTAAATGTAGATCTTGTTTTTTTGTCTTCTTTTTTTTAATCTTAACACTTACAAGTTTATTATAAAGGATACAGAGGAACAGCCAGATAAAGAGGTGAAGGTGACACAGAGTAAGGGCCACAGGATCTGGAGCACAAAAGTTTATGTCCCTGGGGATGTGAGGTGCACCCACCCTCCCATTCACCAACCTGGAAGCTCTCCGAACCTCATCCTTTTGTGTTTTTAGAGAGCCCTCATTACATAGGCATGATTGATTAAATCATCGGCCAGTGCCAGCTGAATCCCATTGGTCAGGGCCAGTTGTGGCATTCCAGCTGGGTGAACGTCATAAGATTTGTGATGGGAATTGGCTGTGGTCTTTGGTGGGGTGGTGAGTAGTTTAGCCTGATGAGAATAGAGGGTCAGGGCTAAGAAGTACCAAAAAGTAGACTAGAAACTCAATCTGGGGCTATATTTTCGTGTGTTTAAATGTTAGGTTAAAACAAATCCTATATTTAATAGAAAAGCTTTTGAAGGTTTCTAGTGTCTTCCTTTCAAGTCATTGATTTATCTGTTTATTTACTCAAGTTTCTAAGCAGCGAGATAACATATTGAATGTGAAAGTGCAGTATCATAAAAGAGTAAGGTATGGTGTAATAAAAGATCACCAGGTTTCTTATCCTGACTCTGCCATTTACCAGCTGCGTGACCTTGAGCTTGTTACTTCTCTGAGTCCAGTGTTTCCATCTGTGAAAGAAGGGATAAAAGTCACCTTAGCTTAGGGAGTTGTTGCAAAGGTTATAGAGGATGTCTCTAAAATGCTTAATGTAGTGCCCAGTACATAGGAAGGTCAACAAATGGGGAAGATTTCTGACCAGCTAAGTGCAAAATGTAGAAGTGAGGGCGCTGGTGTCCTTTGTTTGAAAGCTATTATAGTTACATAAGGATAAGGTCACTAGGACCTGGGCTGAGATAGTGGTGGTAGTAACAGAGAAGACCCTAAATAAACAAAAAAAACCTACATTGATCTCCAACGAACTCGGGGATCGATTGGACATAATGGGAGCTAACATTCATTGAGCACCTAGTATGCACCAAGTGCTATTCTAGGTACTCCAATATAGTAAAAATTCTCCTAAAAATGGCAACTGTTATTATTATCATATCACAGTTGAGAAAGCTAAAGTTCACCGAGATGAAACAACTTGCCTGAAATCAAAGAACTAAGAAAAAGCCAACAGGGACTCAAACCCCTGCAGCACAGTGCCGAGCCCATGTGCCACAATGCCATGCCGTACTGTCCCTGATTGCCGGGAGAAGCAAGGGAACAGTTGGTGAGGACTCACTGGTCTGGTCATCCCAACATCCCTGCCGTGTCTGGTTCTGATTCTTGCCCTGTCTCTTCAAATTGTGTGTTTGTCTTTTTGGTATGACTTGTAATTTTTTTTTGATAGTGGGCCATAATGTACCAGGTAAAAGGAACTGCTGTAAATAGGTTTTCAGTAACAAGGTGTCGGGGGTCGGGGAGGGGAACATGCTGAGTCCCATGATTAGGTCTGTCTTTAGCCTACGGCCCTGGGCTGTGAGCATCACAAGTGTTTCTCAGTTTTTTCTCCCCCCTTAGATGGGACAGGATGGCGAAAATGGGGTGGGGCTGGGCACTTCCCTTCTCCCTGGTTAGTTAGGCTCTGATAAGACCCCAGCAGGTTAGGTTCCAGTTAACTAGTTTCTACCGAGGGCAGGTCTTGTGAGGAAGAACGGTGCTCTGGGCTATTTCAGAATGGTTCCTTTTCTCCTCATGTTGGTGGGAGCCTGAGAGGAACTTTTTTCGATATTTACTACGGGGACCTGGTGGAGCTCCTAGAAGTAGATTTCCAATATTGTGAAAGCCCTAGCTGGGTCCCTCTGGAGTTTTTAATGCTCAGAGTTGTCCCTACTGAGTCCCAGCAATTTGCCAATTACATTTCGGGTCTTCCCCGCCCGCAGTGAGGTGGTTTCTGTGGCAGTTTCTGTTCTGTGAGTCCTGGCTCCCTCTATTCGCCTGTCTCTCCAAGCTTGGAGGCAGCGGTCTGCCCTGTGTCCTTCCTCTGTTATGGTTCCAAGAAGAGTTGTTGTTCGTTTTTCAGTCTGTTCAGCTTTTTACTTGTTGTTGGATGGAGCGGTGACCTCTGAGCACCTTACCTGCAGGATCAGGAACTAGAGGTGTTCCTCACCGGCCTGAGGACTGAGGAGGGCGAGAGGAGCGAAACTTGTGCTGAGAGAATGATGCTGTGTGTCCTGATGTGTTGAGTCTGTGGCAGGGGAACATCAGAGTGGAGGTGACCAGTAGGTGCCTGTGTGAGAGGCTGGGTCTGATGGCAGAGGCATGAGAGTCACAGGAAATGGTTGAGCTGTTTTACCAACGTCACCCTCTTTGACTGTCAAAGGTGTGTGATCTCGGGTAGAGGCTTCCCAGCATAGCTGACCAGGAATTAGAGAAGAGATAGGGCATCTGGCACCTCTCCAACTAGGTGGTGTTACACCAGGGCATTCTGTCTTCTCAGAAGGATGCCCGTGCCCCTCCTGCCAAGACTAAGAAGGTAAGACCATGGTCTTTCTGCTTGAATCCCTTAGCCCCCCATCAGCTCACTGTCTGCCATGGTTGACTCTTCTTCACTTCTCTAGGACAGACATCATGGTATAATGGGAAAAGCTCCAGAGGTGAAATTAGATGGGTCTGGGTTGAAGTCACAACTCTCTTACTCACTAGCTCAGTCACTTTGTGTAAGTTAATTATAAGTCACTTAACTGTGAATGTGTGATTTTTTTTAAAGCTGTAAAATGGAAATAATAATACCTTTCTCACAAGGTTATGGTGAAATAACCATGAAAAGCCTTTAGGAAAAGTTGGTTCCCTGCCCCCAACTGTTCCCGCCCCTTCTGCCCCAGCTGACTGTAAACCATGACCACAAGTTCTCTGACCCTCTTCCCATTGAAAGATGGGGTCTATGCCCCCTCTCCTTTAATCTAGGCAGGCTCGTGCCTACTTCAGCTAATGGAAGGGTGGAGTGTCATTATACGACTTCTGTGGCTAGGTCAAAAAAGACGCTGCAGCTCTTTCCTTACTCACTGGAACACTTGCTGTTGGAGCCCTGAGCTGCCATGTGAGAAGCCTGCCAGGATGGAAAGGCCATGTGTAGACGTGGTGGACAACCACAGTGGAGCCTAGCCTATAACCGCTCCCACCAAGGCACCAGACTGGTAGTAAAGCTGACTTGGACCTTTCAAAGTAGCCCAACTGCCCACTGAATCCCACCCAGGCATCTCTGCTGATGCATCATGGAACAGAAGGATCAGCCACCGAAGCCCTGAGCACAAAATTGTAAGATAACAATAAGAGTTGTTTTAAGCCATTACATTTGGCTTAGTTTGTAACCTGGCAATAGTTAACCAGAACGTTCCCTTTAATCCCATTCCCTCCAACCTCCCAGCCTCCTTACCTGAAATTGCCAGTCCTGAGTACATTCTGGTTTTAATCTCGTTTTTCCTCATATCTAATTATGTGAAATGTGATTTGAGAGCACTTTATTCTATTTTCCTGTGCCTCCTTCCATCCTTCCTTCAATAAGAGTTTCCTGGGTGTTTCCCTTGTGTCAGATGCTAGATTAGGCACGGTCGCTTTCCTCTAGGTCAGGAATCAGCGAACTTGGTGAAACTACCAGGGAGTGCACAATGTAAGCTTTGCAGCTCTGCCGCTGAATCACAGAAGCAGCCAGAGATGTAAGCGTACAGCTGTATCCCAGTAAGACTTGACTTACAAAAATAGATGGCAGGTTAGATTTGCTCCACAAGGCCATGGTTTGCTGGCCCCTGCTCGAGATGCTTCTCACCAGGCGGGGAACATGCTGTCTGTGCAGAAGTCCTTCTGGGCAATGTGTGGTGCACGCCAGCACATTCACCCACCACCCCAACTCAGACAGGACCTGGGATGTAAGCTGCGTCTTGGCCAACAGAAGGATGGATGTTCAGATGCAGAGATCATGGCACAAAAGCATGTAGCCTCGCATACAAACAAGGACGTCAAAGAGGCAAATGGAGCTGGAGATGAGAATAGGCTTAGAAGAAAAGGGAGAGATAAGGCGGAATGCTAGAGAATTTCATTCTCTAAAATTGAGAGACTGCCTCCTCAGCTCTCTCATTTTTCTCTCGGAGGAGTTGTGAGGACAAACCAGTTAAGGTGAAATAGCTGTGAGCTCTGCAGGTGCCTGCCAGATGTGACTGCGCCTACCATCTTTCCTCTTCAGAAAAAGAGCTCCTAAAAGGAGATGTCTTTGGAACATGGTGTAAACCATCTCCCTCCCGGCAACAGGGCTGGCATTCCTGGGAGGGAACCAGAATAGCATGTCATGTTCTAACAGCTTTTCCAGCAGTGAGACTAAATACACATAAACTATTCCAAATTTGTATCTGCTGCGAACATGAACAATGAGACACCCTGTCATTCTGCTGTGAGGCTCGTCTGGACAAGTTATATGCACACTCTCACCTTCCTGACTCTTCCAACTTCAACATCATACCTTCATGACCCCCCCAAAATAACTCCAACTTCGCTCCTATTCTCCTTTATGTGATAGCTTCAACATGAAGATAGTGAATCCAGATTGAGATAGAAACGGGAAATTTAGAGAGACAAGGCAGGTTTTTCTGGCTGTCTCAGTTCTGTCTCTTTAAATCAGCTCAGTTTATCTCAGTTACAGGGGTTTACTGGAAGGTTAAATGGGGAAGTAAATTGGGGGAAATACCTTTTCAGAGCTGCAAAGCAAGGGAATCACATGGGGAGCTGACAGTGTGGGGTACAGCACTGGCTCCAAGCCTCCACGCAAAGGTCTGGGAACCTAAAAGTAAGTGAGCCTTGCTCCTGATGCAGCTCCTCTGTCCACCTGCTGCTTATACTCTTCTCTCTACGTTTTTTGCCTGGTGGCTTTGTCTTGTCTTTTTCTTACTGTCTTCTTTCTCAGTGTCTCTTGGCTTATACCTCCGTTGCCAACTACTGACTCTCTCTAGGTCTCTCATTAAAACTCGATATGAGAAAGAGCGTGAGTAGGGCAGTCAGTCTCATTAAGAAGAGAATGTACCAGTGGGAAGAACAATGCCGGACCACTGGACAGCCTGTGACAGCTTGGTGGCAGTTACTCATCCTGGGTTCCATCAACTGGGGCTGGGGCTGGGGGTCAGGTGGTACAAAGCCTGAGAACTTGACTTTTCTGAGAGACTCCTCTCCTGACCCAGTTCAACACATGTCAGCCTCACTGTCAAGTCATGGGCACCAAGAGGTGACACTCCACACCTGCCTGTCGTGCTCCCACTCTCATCCTGTGTCCACCAGTTTCCTGACTCTGAATTCTCTCTTCAGTGACTCCGTACCTGGCCACTCATGTTTATATCTGTCTTTATGGCTTCTGACTCTTCAGTACCCTTCCAGGGCTTTGGCTCAGCCTTCTTTGGCCAACTCTCTCTGTTTCATGTTGCCTCTGAAATAAATCCTGACCCAGTGGGCCCACTGGCAGTGAAGGGGATGGGCTAAGCTGCTGTAACAAAAGACCTCAAAAGTATAGAGTCTTCCATAAATATTAACTTATAGCTCTCAAGTAGCTGTGCAGAACTCTTTGGTCTACCATGACCTGCCATCATCAACACTTAGTTTTCCTCTCTGGATCCGAGGTGGCTGCTCCCATTAATGTCTTTTTCCAACCAGCAGGAAAGGGGGA